TATGTGGTGTGTTCACGTCTATATGTGGTGTGTTCACGTCTATATGTGGTGTGTTCACTCTGCTAAGACTTGTACAGCTGTGTCTCTGTTACAAGCATCTTGATTTTATCTTTCGGTTTCTTGGCATGTTGTTATTGTTTTGGGATCTTTTGAACGAGTGAGATTTTGATTTTGCTGTGTTTTTTCTTTCCCTATTTTTCTATCACGTATTTCTATCCTCATGCTAACATAGATTTTCCCTTTAAATTTTTCATAATAGATCTTAATTAGTCAAATGACTTGAAATTGTTATCTGAGTACTATTTCTTTGATCAGATTCCCACGTGTTTAACACTGGAACTGATTTCCAAGACAATGCCAGCCGTGACTCAGTGGTGCCGAGCAGTGGGAACTGTGATGTGAGGAGGCAGCACAGCGTCACCCAGGCCACTCAGACGAGCCCAGAGGTCCCCTGGCCTTCCCAGTCTGTCGGCTGTCCAGAGCGCTCCTTTGACTTTACAAGGGAACAGGTAATAGGAAATTGTAGCATTTGATAATTACTAAAATACAAATAGTTAAAAAACCCCTTTGATGTCTTTCAGTAAAGCATGTTGATGACTGACTTACGTAAGCATTAACTGTGAGTGTTATTGATGCTGAGCAAGGGAAGAGACCACTCTAATTCCTTCTCCTTCTTGAAGTACTGTCAGTATTCTTGTCCTTCTAGACTCTTACTCATTCTTAAAAGATCAGTTTTCAAGTGTGTATATATATTTTCCCTAGCATTGCAGTTTCTTTTCTTTCTTTTTTCTTTCTTTCTTTCTTTCTTTCTTTTTTTTTTTTTTTGGTTTTTCAAGATAGGGTTTCTCTGTGGCTTTGGAGCTTGTCCTGGAACTAGTTCTTGTAGACCAGGTTGACCTCGAACTCACAGAGATCCACCTGCCTCTGCCTCCTGAGTGCTGGGATTAAAAGTATGCAGCATCACTGCCTGGCTATATAACATGTTTCTTATATTACATTTCTTCAAGCTCATTTCAGTAGCTGAATGTGGATGGATTATCACCTTCTGTTTGACATTTCTTAACATCCAAGTTGCTTCTGATTGTTTGCAATTATAAATAAACAAAATATCCTGCAGAGTTTTAGTTCTCTATGGTAGGATGGTGGGAGGAGTTTATTGATCTATTCAAGGATTCCCCAGGTGACAGCTCTCACTGTGTATAGTACTGAGCACTGGAATTGATCTCTGTAAAGATAGACCGTCCCTAGTTTTATTGTATCTTCATATGCTATGGCTTTGAGAGGCAGAATCATGAAGGAAGCCTTAGAAAGTTTTGCCCACTGAAGGAAACGCCTATGGGAATGCCGAGGATGTGAGTCTGGAGATCAGGTTATCTCTGGTCGGTGGCCCACTTGAACCACATGGAGAGAAAGGCCGTCTAAGAGAGTGACTTACGTAAACGAGAAAGTGGCTGAGCGTGAAATCCAATAGACTGAGAACTCAGGGTTCTTCCTAAGAGAGGAAAAGAGGACAGATGGGAAGGTGTGAAGTAGAAAGAACTGGCAGCCCAGCCAGAGGACAGAGACCCTAAAGGAGAAGGGAGGTCAGCCGTGGCTGAGGACGTAATCCAAGGAGGCTGCGCCGAGACGGTGCCACTGCTACAGTTGGAACTGAGAAGTTAGCTAGTATTTTGAGTTACTGGGTCAAAATTTAGGAACACTTTTAATTGTATAGTTAGTGCTTTCAAATAGCTTCTGAAGCAGCTTTGAGCTCAGGCGGACCCTCGCCAGCACTGGGTGGCTTATATCCTAAGTGACGTTGCATAAAACAGTTACATGTTCTGGAAGTGATTATAATCGCTTGCCTTCCAAATGTGTCGTTTCAGCTCATGGAGGAAAACGAGTCTCTTAAGAAGGAGCTGGCTCAAGCTAAAATGGCTCTCGCGGAGGCGCACTTGGCCAGAGACGCACTTCTCCATCAAATGAAGCGGATGGCCCTCCAGTAGCGGCGGTGGCTGCAAGAACTCAACTCGCAGCTCTGGAGTAGGAAGGTTGTGATTAAAACATGGCTGTAACCAGTTAGCGGGAAATTTTCCTTAACATGAAAATAAAGTGAGACGGAGTGTGCTGAAGTGATGAGTGTTCAACCCAGCTTAGAGAACACTGTGTGCGCTGGGCCGTCGGCCACTGTGGTCCAGGGAGGGCAGCGCACACTGCCACCGCCGCCATAAGACCGTGAAAAGATATTAGTTCCGCATTATCAACATTTAAAAAAGAAAAGTGAAGACCTGTTGTGCTCATGCAGATGCTGGATTTGTTTCTCCTTGTTAATAATTTACTATTATTTACAAAAAAAAATCAGATGCCTTTAGGGCTAATGTAAAAGAAGGATTACATTTTAAATGTTATTAAAATTATGTACTTAAATCTATAATTATTTAATTGCTGTAAAAAGTCTAATCAAATTAATAAATTATATAATTACTGAGTTTACAAACTGAAAACTCTTGACCACACCGAGCTTATAAAGTAACTTGAAAATGTGAAAAGGAAGGCACCTTAAATGATGGGCAAGGTTTCAATAAGGTACAATTGTAAAAATAAAAAGCACAAATACTAGTGTATGTGAACAAGTGACTTAAAAGCATTACTTGTACATTCCATCAAATGCTTATCATTAGACGTAAAACACAATTTATCTTGCTATAGTTGGCAGTATTTGTAACTATAAAAGTCTGAATTCATACTATTTTAATATTTCTTTATCTTTCCTCTTTAAGGAGAATGTTCTCAGAGAATTTGTTTTTCACACACATAAAACAATTTCATACCATTCCTGTAGTATCACATCACACACGTGTTTGCTCGTATGAAAATATAAAGCTAGTTTTGATTAAATTTCTGTGATGTGTGTCTATGTGTGTTTACATATGCACACACACACACAGAGTCTTCTTTAAGAGTCATTGGTAAATTTTGAATTCTATTTTCTAGGGCTTAAGGTTGAAAACAACATGAGAGAATCTTAATTTATGCATTATGAAATAAAAGTACATGAGTATTTTAAGAAACAGGTTTTTGAAGACAATATATTTCTGATAGAATTAAAGCAAGTGGTGTCTATTTTAAACCTCATACTCCTAAATAGAAATGTATCTAGGATAGGCCCCTAGACAGCTGGACTGTTCTTTCCTAAAGGTACTGGGAGCCCTGGCCCTTGCTCTGACACTCACGGTGCTTTGCCGTTGGCACAACTTACAGCCATCCCTGTATCCAAGGACTTTATTACATTATGTGTAGGGGTGATTTAAATTTTATTGTGAACAGTATTTACCTCCCCACTTCCCCATATCTTCCTTTTCAGTTGACGTCATTAAAAAATACAGGCACTGTTTGGGAGCCAACATACAGCCAAGAACAAATGAAACTGTTATTATCTTACCTCAGAGTATTTACAACATCACATTAAACTATATTACTCTAAACTGTATGTAGCCTTAGATTAAGTACAAAGGTCTAATTAGAGCTTCGGAATGTATAGGCTGCTAACCTTGATGTCTAGGTATGTATTCAGCGACTCGTACAGGATGAACTTCTGAGCTGACACTGTTTCTCAGGATCGACCCATGCTCTATAAATATAAAATTTTTCTATGGTATAATGTTATATTGTTTAATGTTACTAGACACTGAATGTTTTCCTTATTCCTTTAAAATGTATTTGGCTTTCCTAAGAAGTCATATAAACAATAGAGGTGATAATATTCTGAGCATTCCCAGTGGTTTGTCTGATTTTTTTTTTTATTTATAAAATACTGGTTTTGTGGTGGTTTAGGATTCAGGAAACATCTCCAGAATGTTTCGTTTGGCCTCCACTGTGGACACAGAGGGTCGGCAGAACTGAGCCACTGGAGGTGTGAGAGGAGGGAACGGATGCTCAGGATATGCTGACTAAAGCACATTAAGTAATGTGCTTTTGATTTAAAGCATGCTATTCTGTCTTTATTTTACATAATCTTTCATTTGCAGACTTTTCCAAGGCAGGGGAAAAGGGAAGAATCACTGACTTGCCTGTTGTTTTATATATATATTATTATATTTATATATACACACACACACACACATACACACAAAATAATATTTATTATTTTTCTTTTTCTTTGTTTTCCAAGACAGGGTTTCTCTGTGTAGCCCTGACTGTCCTGAAAATTGATCTGTAGACCAGACTGGCTGCAAATTCAGAGATCTGCCTGCCTCTACCTCCTTAGTGCTGGGATCAAATGTGTGCAATTACTCCTGGCTCACAAGTTTTATTATTAAACTTTTTCTTTTCCTTTCTTTCTTTCTTCCTTCCTTCCTCCCTCCCTCCCTCTCTTTCTTTCTTTCTTTCTTTCTTTCTTTCTTTCTTTTCTTCCTGTGAGCTAATGTCATAGAGTTTTTCCTCCTGTGTTTTTCTTTTCATAGTATTTTACAGCTTCTGGGTTTTTTTTAAAGTATTTTATCTATTTTGAATTGACATTTGGATTTAGTGTAAGGTGATGGTCTGATTTCATTCTTGTGCAACCATTTTCCCCAGCACAGTTTATTAAAGTGACTGTCTTTTCTCTACCAGATTCTTGGTGTTATAGTTAGTTATAAATTTGTAGGCTTATTTCTGGGTTTCACATTTGAGTTTGTGTCTTTTCTTTTGCCAGTTGCTTGCTGTCTTTGTGTGCGTCTCTGTGTGAACCTACATGCTTTGCTTTTTATTTAACATGTTAAGAACATATGTTATATGTTATATTTGTTCTTTTCTCATATCTTAGAAATTCAAAATAGCGCCAGTTGATATTAGTTGTAGGAGGGTAGGTAGTATTTTCAGTGTGAAAGCTATACTTTGTCCAACAACCCTCTATTAACTTAGTCTAATCAAAGTATTTATTTCTTTTTTGTATAAAATTTTTTACTTTTTGCTACTGTCATGCATGCACACATGGATTTTGATCATATTCTTTCCCTACCCCTTCCCCTAATTCCTCCACATCTGTCCCTGTGATAAATAGAGAGAAGTGCTGTGGACAGTGGCTTTACCCTGTAAAGATTTATTTCTTGTACTTGTTTAATAAAATGCTGATTGGCCAGTAGCCAGGCAGTTTAAGTGTTGGCTGAAGTATTGACCAGGCAGGAAGTAGTGGCAGGGCAGTGAAAACAGGAGAATTCTGGGAAGAGGGCAGATTCAGTCTGCAGTTGTGACTCAGATGCAGAGGACGCAAGATGAGGATGCCTCACTGATAAAGGTACCAAGCCACGTGGCTAGCATAGACAAGAATTATGGGCTAATTTAAGATGTAAGAAAGAGTTAATAAGAGGCCTGAGCTAATAGACCAACCAGTTTATAATTAATGTAGTCCTCTGTGTGTTTCTTTGGGATGAACAGCTGTGGGACCAGGCAGGACAGAAACCCCTGTCAACAAATGGTGCCAAAAGGAACAGAGTTAAGCATGGCTTATTGGTAGCATTTTCTCAGGTGGGCTCTGTTTGCCAAAGGCAAGTGCATCTCGTTTAAGAGAGGCTTCCTGACTCAGCTTTAGCAGCAAAAACCTTGCAGTTCTTTTAAGAGGTCCCACCACCAAACACTTAAATGGTGTTTATGAGTAGCCCATAGCATGCTTCTTGGTGATGGCAGGGACCTTGAAACCATTGTTCCACAGTAGAGAAAAGTTTATTTAAACTCAGGATTTCAGAAGGTTCAAATCCATGACAGAGCAAAGGCAGCAGGCAGGCAACAGGCATGGTGTCTGGAAAAGCTGAGACCTCACAGTCAGAGCTGTAAGCAGGAAGCTGAGAGAGCAAACTACAAATGGTGCTTGGCTCTGAAATCTCAAAGCTTACGCCTAGTGAAATACTTCCTCCTGTAGGGCCACACTCCCTAAACCTAGCCAAACAGCACCACCAACCGCAGACCAAATAGCCAAACATATGAGCCAATGGGCACTCTCATTCAAACTGCCACAACACCCAAGGTATGAGTTTCAGTGTATGTCCAGTCCTAGGTCTCATACCAAGACACCTTCCTGCATTTCATCACCAGGTATTGATGTGTGGCCGATTTGTCTGCTTAGTTTCCCAAGCCTTCTCTTACCTGAGCGACCATCACCAACTTCATTCTGCATCGTCCCAGTGTCTCCTCACTGCCCATGTTAAAGTCATTCTGGTTCTCCTTGGATTCCTGATCTTTAAACAGAACCCTCTCTGCCATCTGATAACGTTTTTATTAATTCTTTGATGATTTAATACAATGTACTTTGATAATACTCATCTCCTCCCCATCCCCCCCATCTCTTCCCCCTTCCCTACCCACACAATTTTATGTTGTCCGTCCATGAATTCCAGTTTGTGCTGGCCAGCTACTCCTAGATGTGGGGCCCATCCTGAAGTATGGTCAGTACACCAGGGTTGTATCATGAAGCAAAGCTGGCTTTCCCATAAGCAGCCAACTGACAGTGGCCTGTCAGGTTGGGGTGGGTCTTCGTTGCCACTCCCTCTTCCGTGCTCGGGTTTTGTCTGACTGGTTCAGGTCCTCACAATCACTGTGAGCTCATATGGGTATCGTATTGGGAGGGGTAACCAGCAGTCAAAGCCTTTTGAAAAAGCTATATGGAAACCTACTAGTCTAGAAGCTTCCTAAAATAGATACATAGTCTCATGTAAAGAACAATTTAAGGGGAGTTACCTTACAGTGGGGCATAATGCCCAACTAAGTACCGTGTGCTGGCTTTTAAACCATTTTAATCAAAGTTGTACTAGTTCCTTGAATAAAAACCCTTTAGTAGCTTATGGTTAAGTCTTTGGCCTTGTGCAAGAGTGCTGCTGTCCAGTGAGTTAATTCTGAGCATTCACAAGATTAAACTGTACACATACCACTTAAAACACACCTACAGTAGAGGTTAGCTGTCATTCTCATTAACCTCATTTTTTAAACCATGTTTTGCTTTTTCCTCTGTCCTTGTTGCCTTGATCTAAGCATTTGGAATGAAAACTACATGCTTTGTGCACATGTGTTTCAGAGGTTTGAAATACATGTCCTTTCTCATTGCCTAGCCAATTCCTGTTTGTCTCTCAGATCTTAGCCTATCCCCATTTCTTAAGAGAAACACTCCCTGATTACTTTTTACATAATTTATTCAAATTTATTTTATATGCATTGGTGTGAAGGTATCAGAGCCCCTGGAACTGGAGTTACAGACAGTTGTGATCTGCCATGTGGGTGCTGGGAATTGAACCCGGGTCCTCTGGAAGAGCAGCCAGTGCTCTTAACTGCTGAGCCATCTCTCCAGCCTCCCTGCCTGATTATTTTAAAACCAGCTTTGTACCTTCTCTCTTGAACATGGATTTCCACTGCTTTATGCCTTTGTAATTTTAAATGTATCTGTTTGTTTGGTGTCTGGTCTACGAGATTGTAAACTCTGTGAGAACAGGTTTTTCATTGTCATTATTAAACTTTGTATTTCTTGGGCCTTATACAGTACTGGACATAGGTGCTTAGTAAATTTATGGAAAGAATAAAATAAGATATTGAAAAGGTTTTTTCTTTCCAGGTATTAGATTTTTTCACTAGTTGGATTTGAGACGGAACATGGGCAGAGAAATGTTACCAGAAGTGGGGGTGGGGACTCTGTGTCACAGTGGGGAAAATGTAAAGTAGCAGGCACTGTGGGAAGCTGGACCATACCATGCTCAGAATTTGGACTATCTGGGTTTCTAGTTGATTAGTCACAAGGTGGAAAATAAGCAGCACATCGCCGTGGTATTGCTACTCAGAGTGTCATCTGGCTTTTGTGGTGACATATGGTGTTATGGCTGTTGAGCTCTGCCAAACCCGTTTGCTAAACAGAGTGGAAACAGTCCAAGGGAGCAGCGTCTGAAATGCTTTCCCTTTGGGAAAGTGACGGGTACTCCGAATTTCAGTTGTGCCTAATTCCTTAAAGCACACAAACACTCTTTATCTTTAGTGCCTAGAGGCGCTCTAATGTGAGTGTTGTGTATGTGGTGTATGTTGGATATGTGTGGTCGTGTGTGTGGAGGCTGCAGGTTGCTCTTGACTATTCTCTCTAGATTACTTGCCTTTTTATTTCCTGAGACAGGGTCTCTCACTGAATCTGGAGCTCGTTGATTTGGCTGGGCTGGCTGGCCAGTGCGCTCCACAGATCCACCTGCCTTCCCGGATTTCATAACAGGCATCATCATGCCTGGTATGTTTTTTAAATTGATTTTATTGAGCTATCCATTTTTCTCTGCTCCTCTCCCTTCCTCTCCCTCCCACCTCTACCCTCTTCCATGATCCCCATGCTCCCAGTTTACTCAGGAGATCTTATCTTTTTCTACTTCCCATGTAGATTAGATCCATGTATGTCTTTCTTAGGGTCCTCATTGTTGTCTAGGCTCTCTGGGATTGCGAATTATAGGCTGGTTTTCTTTGCTTTATTTCTAAAAGCCACTTATGAGTGAGTACATGTGATATTTGTCTTTCTGGGTCTGGGTTACCTCACTCAATATGATGTTTTCTAGATCCATCCATTTACCTGCAAATCTCAAGATGTCTTTTTTTTTTCTGCTGTCTAGTACTCCATTGTGTAATGTACCACATTTTCCTTATCCATTCTTTGGTCGAGGGACATTTAGGTTGTTTCCAGGTTCTGGCTATGACAAGCAATGCTGCTATGAATATAGTTGAGCACGTGTCCCTGTGGTATGATTGAGCATCCTTTGGGTATATACCCAAAAGTGATAATGC